TCTTTTATTTAAATACTAAGGCAAATATTTTAATCTTTGGAAACTTCGTATAATACAGAATGGAGCTGTGCTAAGTTCAGCTCTTTTAGAATATTGTTGGTTTCTACATTTTTTTTAAAAAAGCAATTTGTTTAACCAAATTATGATTGTCATTGAAGTGGAATTAATCCAAATGGCATATAGCAGGCACTTTATGACTGCTGAAAAATGTTTTCTTTTCTGGAGGATTTTGTTTGGGCATCATCTAAATTGGTAGGAAAACAAAGTATGGTTTATCCTAACTGTGACTGTAAACATAGTCTTCAGATTTTTTAGTACTATGTGAAGGAAAAGAGATTGCTTCTTTAAGAATTGCACTCCGTGAATATTCAGGCCTATACTAATGGCCCATATTTTGCAGCCATTTGTTCTTTCTCTGAAAATCCTACTTGTATTTCAGTGTTCTCCCTTGGCTTCTCGCAACTGTACAGCGGAAAGTAGAAATGGAATTTATATATTAAACATCTGTTAAATAGCCTCACATCCTGAACGCCATAGTTTAGCAATGTTCAACTCCTGAATGCAGCTGAATCAATATTAAATGAATACATAGACCAAACGCCCCAAACAATGGTTACGCATACAATCTTTCTGGATTTAATTCAACGGCAAGAAGGCTTGTTGGGATAGCTGACATCATCAGTCTACCCTCTTAAACAGGATAGCTACGGGATGCAGACCCTTCAATGTATGAGAGACAAAACCAGCCCCTGCTATTTTGCTGCTTGAAGCAAAGGAGGAAACAACCCACTCTACAATTGGCAGAATGTCACCTTGTGAACCTAATTTGCAATGCATGGAGAATTCTAGCTTGAAGTAAAGGATTTAGGAACTACGGTTGAATCGTGTACGTTGCAATCCCAATTATTTTTCACCCCATTAATGGCTAATAGCCACCCAAGGGGATTCTAGTTTTTAATTGAATCTTCCCCCCCCCTTTTTTTTGGCTACACAAATGTTTCCCAGTGAGGTGGAAAAGTGTTCCCGCAGGTATTAAGATTTGGAAATCGCCAAGTAATATTTAAAGGGGTACATAAGGAGATGTTCCAGTTGATGACAATCCCTATAATTGATGTTTGTTTCAAACCCTTTCACTTAAGGCAGCATCCAGCGAAGCTTCTACTGTGATTTGTCCCCCTCTAGACCATCAAATGTGTTCAATTGTCTGAGCTTTTAAGGGGTAAGGACCACTCAAGATCAGGACCATTGCCTTGCTTAGATCTGAGGTAGCTGTCATGCCCCTGTTGGAGATTGACTCCGAGGGAGAGGAGGAACAGCTGACAGGGAGTGGATGTGTGGCTCCAGAGATTGTGGAGGAGGCTGGAGAAGGGCAGAGGCCAGCTAGGCAGTTAGAGGAGGACCCAGGCCCATTCCCTCTATATCCTAGGGCACGCAGGGAGGAGAGGATAAGGGAGAGAAGTGGTCTATGGGGGAGGAGAGGGCCTTGATCCTCTTCATGGGTTACAGCTGTGACAATTGGATAAAAGGACAGACATGCGTATGGGCCAGTGCTGGAAACAAAGTGTGGAAATATCTCTAGTCTGTCATTCCTTTCTGAGTTTGGCATGCTTCCCAGTGTGTGTTCCAATATCTGTGGACATCTTCAAGCCCTTATCTTGCTTGGTTCCCTTAATTGCTTCAGTGTGGTTTGTGTTGTTTTTACTCTTTATAATTTATAGGAATTTTTAGTTTAAATGGCATTTCCTCCTTTTCGTAACTGCTTGTGGGGGAGTTTTTTGTCTCCAGTCAAAGATATTTGGAGCTTTGAAGCAAAGTGAAGGAATAAAAGGGGCTTCACCTGTTTTTGCGACTGTGTTTATTTTGTATCCCACCCTGGGTCATCACAGTAGCCTTCAGAAACTTTGTGGGGGGAAAAACTGGAGAAACTTGGTTTTGCTCTGCCTAAGGAATGGCCTTAGTCACTAAAACACAAACAAATTCACACAACTTAAAAGCTGCCAAGGCTGAAAAATGCTGCTCTAGAGCAGGGGTGTCAAACTTGCGACCCGCGGGCCGGATTCATCACGCTCAGGCCACGTCCACCACAGCTCTGCGAATGGGAAAAATGTCACGAAACAACATGTGCCGCCAACGTGAACATAGTGAGTTTGACACCCCTGCTCTAGAGCAATGAGGTGGTCATGAACAGAAATGGCACAAAAAATATTCAGAATGGTCCAAATCAACGGGACCATGAACAGCTCCAAAGGAAATGAATGAGCAATAAAGGAATGTGCCCCGGAATACCGTGATGCAGATTATAGCAGAATATCCCTCATCACTGAGTAGGGTGTGGCTATCCAGGAAAAGTAGGCTTTATCATCAAGGGTTAATGTAACTTGATGGTCCAGCTATTTCTGGAAAACAACAGCATACACAGAAGGCAGAATAAGAGAATCAAAATGATAAAATGTTGAATTACTCACCCATATGCAGAAAGGCTCATAAGTGGATAATGAGCTGATAAAGTTATTAATGATCTGAAGAAAATAACTTTCGCCATATTTTGCACCACTTTGCAAAAGAGTCAATCAAACAACTTGGTTTCATCATTAATTTATAGAACCCAAGATATGGTCATTTGGCTTAAATGGCTTTAACAAAGGAATTGTTATGATAAAAGCAACAGGTATTAGATTTGATAGTAAACTGAACCACTAGATTCAGAGGCAATGTACCTTTATAGGGGAGCTAGTTTGGTGTAAGACACCAGGCCACAAACTGGGAGACCATGAGTTCCAGTCCTGCTTTAGACATGAAACCATCTGGGTGATCTGGAGCCAGTCTTTCTCTCTCTCTCACTACCCTAGGAAGGAAGCAATGACAAACAACTTCTGAAACCTTGCCAAGAAAACTGCAGAGACTTGTCCAGGCAGATGCCAGCAATCAACACTAACATGAAAACACACATCAAACAAATCTATACAACTTTATACACTGGCTACCAGGGAAATAAAGTTCCATCAAACAATTTGATAAGCACTGTCTGACATTTTGCTATAAGATCTAGTCATTTGATCATATAGCAAAAGGAGGAAGAGGACAAAAATATCCATACGGCAGCTCTACATGGAAGAATCAAAACACAAAACAACAGCATTTGGTGCTAAAAGGCTCATAGCTGGACAAAGATAAAAAGGTAGGAATTGTAACTGCTTAAATAAAAAACTGAAATTAGCATTTATGGACCCAGTTAGATAAATGGTCAACTGAAAAGCATCAGCGTAACTTGATGGTCCAATCTTGATCTTGGCAGTGTCTTTGCTTCTCTGTCCTCATAATACAGCTCCTGAGTGTTACATTTTCACAACTCGACCTGCCGCTTGTTTTATTGTTTTAGATACTCTGTGAACAAGCCACCTTCCCCTCGAAGGGGTATTTGCCTTTATCGGCCCTTTCAATTCCCTTTATTCACAAGATTCCAGTTTCTGCAGCACTGACAGAAACAACTCAGTTTTCCTCTGGTTTATGGCTCTACGCAGGTACAGGCTTTCGCATGGAGCACGGCTTTGGGATGGGTTTAGGACAATTTGCTGCAGCCAAATCACTGTGGCCAATTTGCCACAGGACAACTCACCATGGCCAGCTCGCTGCAGAACAACTTGCCAGGGAACAAGATTTACACTAATATTGAAGGAACAGTGGAACCGAATCATTAAAGAACGGTTGCAAAAGGAGGGACAAAATGAAATTTGAATGACAAAAGCTAAAGTTTTTAAAATTATTTTAAATAATTAAATTGTTAAATTGTCCCACAGCGAGTTGGCCACTTGGCAAGTTGGCCATGGTGAATTTTCTCATCCCCTTTTGAGATAAGGGGACTTTGACAAAGAAGCTTCAGCTCCAGAGAATGAGCTCCAGCAGTAGAATGCAGGTTCTTGTGTGTAAATGCTTCTGGACTGGTTCATAAGGATCTCCTGTTGAAGGATATTAGGCAGCAAGACTGCGAAAGGCCCCTTAGGAATCCACTGACAAAGTAGATTCAGCTGCTTTGGATAAAGGGATTCAATAAAGTACAACTGCTTGATTTAATAACAGTCTTTACCACCTGCTTACACTATTTCTCAAGCATGATTTAATCTCCCGCTGTATTTCTCTGCGCACATTAAATGTGGCCGGGCTGCATTGTTGTTTAATTCTCTGAGTTTTTATTCTTTTCCTGCTATTGTTCTGTCCTATACACAGAGATCAGGCTTTCTCTATCAAATGTCCTTTAATGAGACACTCATCTATGAGCGAGATGCATTCAATCTATTTACTGTAGGTTCTAGGTTAGTCGACAATCACATACATTAATAAATGGATTGTTTTGTAAAGAGCCCAGAGTTTTTTTCCTGCAAAAGAAACGACAACCCTTTGGGAAATTACAATGGCTAATTGTCTCGCTGGCAATGAATAGAATAATTGTAATTTTTTAATCTGGCCAGAGTGCTTTTAACACTATGCAGAGAACCATTACACACAGAAGACATTATATACATAAGAGAGTCTCTAGAGATATGCAGAGTCAGGTTTCAATATTGCCCTTTTATAGATGTAAGAATCTGTGCCTGATATTTCCCCGTCAAAATGGTGAAGATGTCCTTCCCTGTTGCACCACTGGCCCTCTGGAGCGAGGGTCCCCCAAGATGTAGATGTCCCCCCTACTTTACTCTTGTTTAAAAGCTGGGAGGACCAGGCTCTTCACCCAGGTCTTTGGTAAGGGAGAGAGACATACCTACTTCATCGCTCTTGCCGTCCTTTATCTTAATTTTTGTCACTTTTATTGATTTCATTGTCACTTCTTTGATTGTTGTGAACCACCCAGAATCATTGAGAGTGAGGTGATGATGATGATGATGATGATGATGATGATGATGATGATGTAGTAGTAGGAAATACAGCTCAATGCCACCATTTGCATTGAATGCTGAACAGAGCCTCCCTCTGGATCCACAATGAAGTTCATTAGGTTTTTTTTCATATTGCAAATTCAGAAGCAATGGAAATTTAGGTATAAAAAAAAAATCTATGGACACTTCATTATTGAAAAGGTTCCTGAGCCCTCTTCCTGTATAATCTCACTTCTCCAGGAGATGGCTGCCATTTTTTCCCCAACAGTTGCAGTGGTTTGAGGGAACAGCTCAGTCAAAAGCTGGCCTCCAGGGCTTCACTTTCTCAATTAAAGTGGTTTTGCCAACATAGGTGCATCGTTCTATATCACAGCACAGTCATCTTTTGCTGGTTGATACGTTCGTAATGGTTTTAGCACGTCCCTTAAGAAAATGAACACAACCCACACAGGGACTGCAGAGGCTCAGCTAATGGGTGCCCCCGTGCTGACCAGTTTATAGTATGCCCTTTCCTGGGCCATCAGTTCTTCATGAGTGCCCTTCTCAATGATGACTCCCTGAGACATGACAGCGATGATGTCCGAATTCTGAATGGTGGACAAGCGGTGCGCAATGACAATGCAGGTCCTGCCTTCTCGAGCTTTGTCCAGGGCAGCCTGCACAGTCTGAAGGGAGAAGAGGAAAAGAGAAAGAGAAGGAGTCTTTACATGGTCATCATGACAGGTTACATTCATACAAACACAGCCAATTTGGCTTCTCTAGGTCACTTTGTTTTGGGAAAGGCATTGATCAACTCAATTCAGTTGTGTTGAAAACCCTCCTCAAATATTCAGTGAATTAAAAGAGGGGGAGGAGAGAAGAAGAAGAAGTCCTACTGCCCACAACTCCAGTTTCCATGGGTCATGTGAACCAAATCCGGTTCCAACCAAACAATCCACCCGATTTTTGAATTGGGTCACAATTCAAAAACCAACCCAGCAAGCAGCAGATTCCCTTGCCGCAGCGATTTCCCCTTCCGCGCATGCACATTCCACCCATTTGCAGTCGGTTGTGCTTTCAGTCATGACCAAATCGGGTTGTGATCATAGTCCTGGAATGTATTATGGTCGTGACCCGAGGTTCCACTGTATTTGGGCTCTGTGGGGTTATACAGTAACTTGCAAGCATGGCAAATCTGCTTCCCCTTCCAGTGTTGCCAGGGACTGGTATCAATAAACTCTGCTCTTCAGAGATGTCATTCTCTTAGCAGTCCAGAAAAGTTGGGGGAAAAAGGACACGGAGCAGTCATCTCCTGTCCTATCATTTCTCAAATCTTCCCAGGATCGCAACATTCCCCTTAGCTTCTTGGTGGACCAAAAGGCATTCAGAGGCCATCAATTGTGGAATATTGGTAACAGCAGAGATACTCAAGCGTCACCAGGTGGATCAAAATATGGCTAAGACGGAGCAACCTGGCAGGGATGCAACAAACTCCAATCTATTCCAATGGCAAATCCACCGATAAGATCTTCATCCAGAACGTTAACAAAAGTTAAGCTTGGATAATAATATCACAGCATAGTTGTAATATGGCTCTGGAAACATTGGCCTATGGTACTTGCCTTCTTTACAGTGGTGGAAGTCTGTGAAGGTCCCATCGCTACTGTTTTTTTTTCCAGAGAAGTAGATCATCATTTATTGCTACTGCCATCAAAGGGCAAAGCTGGCTCTGATGGATTTAGAAGAAGCCACCTACATGTTGCTGTGTTGGCTCCATACAGTGAATTCTCACTACGCGCTAATTACGTGAGCTAGGTATATGGTGGCTAAAGTGATTGGGCCATTCAATGTGTTGTATGAATGCAGCCTAAGTTTGCAGTTTGGGGGGAGTTTCTTGGATTCAACGCTATCTGTAACAGCAGAGGGCCAGGTTGGTAAGTGTGCCTTTTTGAATTGCTTCCAGTACAGTCCCTTCCCAGCTGTGACTCTGTACAATGAGTGTATTGTACTATACTTTACCTATTGTGCATGTGCATTCAGATTCAGTTACAATTTACAGCCCTTTTTAATTTTCATACCCCAAAATAGCCTCCAAATAACAATGAAGTGAGGACATCCTTCCCTTCCCTCCTTTTCAGGCTGAGATTTTATATCCACTTATTTGAGACTAAGTTGCTTTTGAACTCAACAGCAAGGGATTGAATTAATACATATTCTCAATGCTCCGTGGAATGTATTTTCTCTTAATTATCTGATACCTGAAAGCATAAAATTATTTTAGAGCCCGTTTGGTATAGTACTGAATAGAAGTGCTGGCCTAGAAACCGGGAGGCCGTGAGTTCTAATCCCACCTTAGACATGAAAGCCAGATATTGGGCCAGTCCTTCTCAGCCCGCCTGCCTCCCAGAGGAGGAAGGAGTAGGCTATATATGTTCTCCAGTTTGAGTTACTTATAAAGGTGGGATTTTAAAAAAAAACCTAATATATAAAAGAATAAAATAATAAAAGGGAAATGTTTTTGGTTTTTGATATTCAGCATTTCTTTCTCTATCAATATTAATATCTTAGACTTATATACCGCTTTATAGCGCTTTACAGCCCTCTCTAAGAGGTTTACAGAGTCAGTCTATTGCCCCCAACAATCTGCGTCCTCACTTTACCAACCTTGGGAGGATGGAAAGCTGAGTCAAACTTGAGCTCCATCAGGATCCAACTGCCAAACTGCTGGCAGCCAGCAGTCAGCAGAAGTAGCCTGCAGTACTGCCTTCTAACCACTGCACCACCACGGGCTCTAGATCCATTGCTGTTTACCTGTTCACTTTCTGTATCCAGTGCAGAAGTAGCTTCATCCAGTAATAAGATCTTAGGGTCTCGAACGATGGCTCGTGCGATGGCAATGCGCTGCTTTTGCCCTCGAGACAGTAGAGACCCCTGAGCCCCAACGTTGGTTTCATATTCCTGCAAAAACAAAAACACCACAATATTTATTGGCTCACTGACTTTGTTTACCCCAAGAACAAAAATACAATTAGAGTGGTGAGAAAATGAAGCTACTTCATCGCTTTTATTCTAACATTCTTTTATTTTATGGGCGGAAGAACCTTCAATTAAGAAGCAAGCCGGAAAAAGTTATTATTTGTGTTGTTGTGTTATTATTACCATTAAGTGTGTGTTAATTTTTGTATTGAAATTGAGTGTTTTTATTGAAATGCTTTATAAGTAAGCCTTGGGAAGTTACCAAGTGTTTTGTTTTTTTTTAAGAAAATGAATGGACTTATATTATTAGATAGAATGAGCTTTAGTTTAACCAGGGTAAAAGTTGTCCGAAAGATTCTACAGTCACAGAGATTCTATAGTCACAGCAAGTGACAGCAGCTAGCTGATCTTGGAAACAGTGAAGCAAATCAGGTCTGGTTACTGCTTGGATGGGAGACCACCAAGTGACCCCAGGGCTGGAGGATAGACTGTGCAGTTCACAACTTGGCTTTGACGGAGGACAAAAGCTAAGCAGAGTTTGTCCTGATTAATACTTCAATGGGAAACTGTTAGAAAGGCACATAGCTGTAGTCTCTGGTCAGCTAAAGGGTTCCTTCCTTTGTTTTATTAACAAGACATTTTTATCCCACCAATCACAACAGGCAGGAGACAGGATTTCGGTTCCCATCTTATCCTCATGACAACCCCGTGAGAGATTAAGTGAAGAGTGTGGCTTCCTACTCTTCATGAACACACTTCAAAAGACTTGATGATTAAAGCGTGCGGCTGGAATGTAACAACTCTTTCATAGTTCTGAGAAGCCATTTTTGGAACGTGTGATTCGGCGGCTGGGTTTTTCTTTTTTAGTCATCTTTCCAGTGGTGGGTCAATTAGGAAACAAGCAAGAGACCATGCAGATATTTTCAAGGGGATTCCTGGATTCTAAAGAAGTGAGCAAACCTAATTGGGACAGTAAATTAGGCCAGCGGTCCCCAATCTTTTTGGGCACCAGGGACCAGTTCCGTGGAGAGAGGTATTTCAGCGGACCGGAGGAGGCGTGGTTTCATCTGCTGCTTGTATCCCGCGGATGGGGCTTCGCTGGGTTGTGTGGCCCGGTTTCTGACATGCCTCAGCCCAGTACCGGTCCATAGACTAGGGGGTTGGGGATTCCTGAATTAGGTTATCATAAATATAGATCTATAGGTGAGAAAGCCAAACAATTCACAATAGAAGGAATGAAAGCCAAAACATTATTGTGAGGCAGAAATATTGACTCAAAACATTATTGTGAGGCAGAAATATGGAGAATATGTTAAATCAACAGTGAAGAAAACGTTTAGGCCAGTTCTTCTTTCCATAACAGGGGTCCCCAAACTTGGCAACTTTAAGGCTTGTGAACTTCAACTCTGTGAGTTGAAATCCACAAGCCTTAAAGTTGCCAAGTTTGGAGACCCCTGTTGTATAACATAGAACATTTTAAAAATAGTACTCACTTGAGGGAGTGACATCACAAATTCATGCAATTGGGCTTTCTTGGCAGCTGTTATCACTTCATCCATAGATATTTCTCTACTGTTATCCCCGTATTTAATGTTGTCGACAATGCTACAGTCAAACAGCACCGGTTCTTGAGAAACTATCCCTATTTTAGATCTAAGAAATTGGATGTTCACTTGCCGAGTGTCGCGGCCATCTATCAGCTGTACATCAAAAACACAAAACCACATGCAAAATGTCTTTGGTTATAAAATTAAGATTTCTTTTTCAAACCTTGGCTTGTATTTGCTGACACATGTGCAATTTGAGCACCACAATCTGGGTGGAGAATTGCATGGTTGTTCATCAGTTAAAAAGAATACATTTGCAAGCTAAGAGTTCTGCAGAATCTCAGGGCTTTTATCAGAACGATAAGATGAGTGACATGGCTCAAGCATGCATGCATACACACCAGAGGTGGTATTCAGCAGGTTCTGACCAGTTCTGGAGAACCAGTAGTGGAAATTTTGAGTAGTTCGGAGAACTGGCAAATACCCCCTCTGACTGGCCCCGTCCCCATCTCTTCTCTGCCTACCGAGTCCCAGCTACACAGGAGAATGGAGCTGGAAAGCAGGTTAGAAGGTGGGGCGGGAATGGGGATTTTGCAGTATCCTTCCCCTGCCACACCCACCAAGCCACACCCACAGAACCG